AATGATAGTGAAGAAGCTTCACTATATAGTGAAGAAGCTTCTATACCTACAATGTAGGAATGGCTGGTGAAGATGATAGAACTTGCTGAGATGGCCAAATTGACCTGTTTGATTACAGAAAAGGCACTATCTAAGTTTATTGCTGACTGGAAACTCCTTATGGACTTTTTGTGTAAAGCAAGAAAAAAATGAACTTATGATCTATGGTTTTGATAATTAGGATAGATTATAGAAAAAAGAGAATCATAATATAACTTTAGAGAAAGAGGTAAATCTACAATTGTACTTATAACTGCTGTAAAGAAGATCGGAAGCCAGTTCTTTATGTCTTCTTTCCTTCTTTTCTATTTTTCTTCTACTTTTTTTTCTTTTCTTCTTTTTGCACTTTTTATTTCTCCCTTTTCCCTTTCCCTTTTCACTCTATTTTAGTTTGTATTAATTTTTACTCGTTTTCAAAACTTTCAATAAAATATTGAATAAAATAATAAATATATAAAGCTTCACTATCTGTTGATGGAAACTGCTTCTGAATTATGCTTAGGAAGTAGCCAGAGTGTTCCCCAACACTATCTCTTTCTGCCAAAGTTTTTTAAGGACATCCCATATAGCAGGTTGTTGTAGGAGGATGGCATGACTGAATGAAATGAGATATTCTGCATAAATATTATGAATAGCTTTAAACTAATTGGAAAAAAAGATGAAAAATTAATTTCTTTGCTATAGGCCTTTAGCATATGATTTGAGATCCTTCTTTAAACTTTCCAACCCACATTGACACAGGAACTCAGAGAAGTCTGCATCATACTGAAGTAAATTACCCCAGAGCTACATATCCTACTGAAATCAATGGCAAACAATCTACTGAATTCATAATTCCCAAATCAATTCACTAAATTCTCACAGATGTTCATAACTATCACACAGTTATTCATATAGTGTAGTTATTCTCTTTGCAATTTGTAGAATGACTCATGAGTTTGAAAAATGCTTTGTGATCTGCACCTTCCTATTAGTCAGAAAATATTCTGTGAGAGATTCAGATGAATATCCCAAAGTGCAAACAGTTGGTTCATGTCTATCCAGCAGATTCCTCCTCCTCCAAGAATAAGAAGAGACCCAAGACTTCTGCATCAATTTTTCAGCCTCCAAATTATTCTATATTATGGAAGCCTTCTTAATTTTTCTGACTGTGTCCTATTTCAATCTACATAAATGCAACAGGGCAAGTATAAAAAGAAAGTATATTTAAATCTCAGAGATTTTCAGTACTTGTATTTATGGTTTTCATTCATCCTAGTTTCAGGGAATGCTTTCTACACTGGATTGCCTTTATGGAAGCTCTTAAAAAACAGTTTCTGAGATTTAACATTTTACAGATTAATGTAATGTTCTAGGGTGCACGTGTTTCTGTGGGGCACTGGACAGCTTGAAAATCTGCCCTGAAGTACACCAATGCTTGCAGGTTACAAGGTGACGAAAAAAAATATTTTTACTAATATATTTTCACTAGGTAATGCTTAAAAATGTAAGGCCTCCATAAATAAATAAATATCCAGAAGTGATCTTACCTTCTAAAGCACCTTTACAAAAATTAATTATGAATGCAGCAAGATTGTCTACTACTGTATTGTGCCAAAAGCATTATGTCTATTATGTAATTTAATTGGTTAAAATACATTTTCCTTCAGCTTAATTTTTGACAGCCAGATCCATTTATCTATTTTATATTCTTCATAATAATAATTTCAAATACTTTATGTCTTCTTCTCTATTCTATATTACTGTCCTCTGATGCAATACAAATCACTATTTTGAAGATCAGAAGACTACTAAAAGAATAAATACATGTGCAGTTTGCATACAGGGTCTCAGAGATGAGAAAGTAGCTTGCCCATTTATTATAAATGTTTCTATTATAAATACAACTACCACATATTAATACTGTCAAATACATTTACATTGGTTAGAATAATCTTAATTTCAAATCATACCATTGGAAGTACTAATATTAGAAAGTCTTCTTCCAAGATTTTATTCCACTTAGCAATATTTTATTTTAGTTTTCAAAGAATGGGTAGTCTGCAATCCCAAGATCATGGAATCAGTTGGATATCTTTCTGAGACTGGAGAAACAGCTTCAACCCAGATGCATACCCTGACATCAATTCTTCCCTTAACTCCCTGACACACTCTTTTCTCCCACGCTTCTTTCAGTCGAGAAGGCTGAATGTGGTCTGGCAGGGGTGAACAGGACTACACTGGTAGCACCTGTAGATCTGAAATAACAGAAAATAATCTTTTTTTTCTTCTGCCAAGGCCTTCTTCTGTCCTTGAAGCAGCATGCCAGTAGAGGGTAAGGATCAAGCAAGCAATAGATGCAGAGCCATCTGACACTTTTTCTCTAGCCAGCTATTCATTTTCTTCTTTGCAGGATATTGTCATTAAGGAAACAACACTTTTCCTAAGAGTCAGAATGCTTGCAGAAGCTTTTGAAATTAGCTCGTTCAAATGGATCTTCAGCCCTTCCTGACTTGTGTCCTGTGCCTAACAGAGCTAGCCCATGCCTAATTTGCTTAGCTTAAATTTAAAAAACAGAAGAATCCTCTCCAACTGCAAGAAAATTAAACATCCTTCAGTTTAAGTGGGCAATAAACAGGCAAAAGAATGTAGTGAGGGCAGCACCCTATACTAAAAATTCTTCCAAATGAAAGCTAGAGATTATCTGAGGTAGTCTTTCTTTCCTAAAACTGAAAATTATACACTGCAAAGCTACACAAATTTACTATTTATAAAAATTCAATTTGATTGGAAGTCCAATTTCCTAATGTGGAAAAAAAATGATGGAAAAACTGAAAAAGATGTACCTCAATGAGACTTGAATACAATTAGAATTGATTAATATTCTGTAATGTTATAAAGGAGATTAGCGAAATGAAAGAGGTGATTTTAAGGCATTAGAATACTGTTATATTTTACTTAGAGCCCCCTGCACCTGTTTCAGCAGCTGGAATGAAATTATTTAAAAAGTAACATGGCAACGAAAACAAATTAATTTCCTCAGAGGAAAAGTAGTTTTGAACCTAAGCTTATGCATTTTTATAATGTGATAAATTAAAATTAAACCCTGCACTTTAAAGTCTGGAAATACCATTGTTCAACTAACAGTTCTTTATGGTGTGTTCTCGGTATGCGAAAAAAACTTTTGCCTGCAATACAGATGAAATCTAAGATAAAAAATAAACTAACTCAATCAGTCTGATTACTTTAATGCAAGAAAGAATACCCTGTACAGAGCCAAGGGGCATTGTTTTTGGAACAAATTATATATATGTGAAAATTGGACAGAAAGTCCTTATGCCCACCTAAAGTTACAGTGAAAGTTATAAACTTTTAGTAGTGCCATCCAAGATATTTTAGCGCTAGAAACAACTACTGTCGTTATTTATTCTGTGGTGCTGCCTGAAGCAAGTTACTGGTCCTGTCTTCAGTATTTATTATACAGACTTATAGAGGTAGTCTTTGGATTATGACCATTCATTCAGCGACTGTTCAAAGTTACAATGGTGCTGAATGAGGGGGACTTAAGATGGGTCCTTGGAGTTCTGGTAGTTGCAGTGTCCCTGCAGTCACATGATTGTGATCCAGGAGCTTGGTGCACAGCCTGCAATTATGTTGCAGTGAGCTGTGGTCACATTATCGCGATTTCCAACATTCCCTGCTGGCTTCCCACAAGCAAAGTCAATAGGGGATCTGGCAAGAAGTCTGAAGTCACGATCATGTGAGGTCCTCGCTTAATGACCCACACAATCCTCATTTAACGATGGCAACTGAGAATGCTGGAATTGTGTCACTAAGTGACATGGTCACGTGATGTCATGTTTTATGACTGCACTGGTTACTGACAGAATTTCCAGTCCCAATTGCTGTCATAACCTGAGGACTACCTGCAAATGGTGAAAACTGCGAAAGTAAGCTTTCCTCTTGATTTTATCAGTGGGAGGGAGGGAGGGAGGGAGGGAAGGAAGGCCAGTTAAGGTTCAGGGGACTGTGGGCATGCTATTCTTTGGCATTCTCAATGTTACCTTAATATTCAACCCAAAGTCAGGTAACCAGAGAAAAGGTGGACAATAGCAAGTATGGATGGGTAACATGAGTGGACATCTGGCAACAAGAGATTGTGATGTCGGGCAGTTGTAGTTGTTTAGATATATTAAATCAGATACTGAAAATAGACATGCAGCTTTCATCTACATAGGACCCTGGAAACCCAGATTCATAAGTATAAAAATATTTATTCAGAAATAAGAACTCCTGCTATATTAGAACACAGCCCTGTCTAGTTCAGTACTGTGTTCCCACAATAGTTAACCAGAAGGCAACTAATGGAACAGCTAAGATCTTAATGTGATACAGACATTAAAATATCAGTGCTATATTATTATATGCCATTATCATAAAAACTATGCAAATATTTTTATACAGAACTTTGTATGTGATCCCAAACATTTTGAGACATCAAAGTTAGATCAAAAATTTCTTCCAGAATCTGCAAACAGAAGATTGGAAATAATTTCTTATAGACATGAAATAAGGGCTTTATTGAAGTGTTGAAAGCTTTTCTTTCAGGAAATAATACATTTTGAAATGACTGTTGAAAGGATAGTTCTTCCTTTACATGTTTATGTGTCTGATCAAAATGATAGACCTAAATAATTTTTCCTGTTCTCAGGCTGCACAAATCTTGTAAATAATTCATATAATTTGCTTTCTATTAAGGGCTGAATTTAAGCCCATTTTGCCTGCCTTTTATTCATAATGGCAAATACTTTTTGACTGGAAGACAGCAAATGGGGAAGAACACAAAATATGTTATATACTCATGAAAAATATCTCATAGAAGAGGTTTATCATGAAATAAACTTGATACTTCAAAGTCTTATTGTAACATGTGAAAATGCTCCATCCAGATCTGGAATTTTATACTCATTCAAGACAGTAAAATGCTAACAGGTAAGAAAGGAAAAATCTACTCAATTCATATTTTGCCTATTTCAACAAGAAAATACATACAGTATTCTATGAGTAAATTGTGAAAGAACAGGAGCTTCACAGAAGCAGAAAGGACTGAGTTAAAGCTTAAACATTAAAAAATACCATCAATAATCCTATTTAACTTGAATTAGTATAAAATTCCAGATCTGGATGAATTGCATCCTAAGATACTGAACTGGTTAGCTTATGGTCTGGCTGAATCTTTATATATTAAAGACTGTGAAAAATCTCAGAAAAGGACAAACATACTGGAGACTGGAAAAAGGCAAATTTTGTCCTTGTCTTCAAACAGTGGAAAAAGAAGGATCCTAATTTCAGATCAAAGTGTATGACTTTAATATTGAGAATATTCTTAGAGCAGATCATAAAGAAACTGATCTATGTACCCCTTGAAAGCAATGTTGTATTGATCAGAAATCAACACAAATTTGTCAAAAGCAAGTCTCCCCAGACAAACCTTGCCTCCATTTTTTCACTGGATAACTTTCTCAATAGAGTACAGAAACGCTGTAGATGCAGTATGTCTTGATTTCAGGAAAGTGTTTGATAAAGTATCCAGTGACATTGTGATGAAAGCAAATTAAGTGTGGGTGAAATGGTGTGACACTTTGCT